ATGTTTATCTACCTGCATGAATGAGCTCTGGTAGATCTCATATACCATCTGCCCGCACATCATCACAACTGTCTTCTCACAATAGCATGTCTCCTGATCTTCCCCCTATCCCACCTGACCCGACAATGCAGGCTTTGTTCGCTTGGCATGAATCTTGTTTACTCATTTGTGTGCCTGATTACATATGACTCACAGAGTCAGACACAACACTGACAACTATTCAAAGGGCTGAACTGATGGGGTGTGGTCAGGTGGGGGGAGGGTATTATGGAATTGTATGTATATACGTTAATGTTCTTCAGACAACACCCTGTTACTGAACGAGACTGGCCTCCCCAAGAAAGAGTTAATAAGAGAGGTCGCTTACTGACCCTCGCTGCTGCTCAGGTGATGGATGAGGGTCATGCCAGAAAGGCCCAAGCTGCAGAACGAGGGCCTCCAGCCTCGGGCCCCTGTCAGCATGGCCCCACCTCTACAGGGCCCTCACGGTCATGAGAATATCCACATTTGGGTCACGGAGGCTGCACGGCTAGCACACAAACCGCAGGCCGGCTCGACGGGTTTCTGCTGTAGCACAAACAGTAAGGTCTCTGAGGCAGGCTTACAGTTGTCCTGTTTCAGTCATTTAACCTGTATCCTATTTTTATCAAAATTCAATGAATACACTCACTGTTAAATTGGTGTTTTACATGTCGCTCCAGCCGGTGGGGGGGGGGGGGGTACATCTACTTGTACCTTTAACTATTTGTACCTTCCTGGCTTGTTTATGCAACAGAAAATCTGGAGATGTGAGACACAACATATACATAAACCCCCCCCCGTGCACCTTACAGTACACAGAGAGAATGACGTATTATGATGGACAAGTAAGAGATAGGAAGTGATGTAGCACTTTGGGGTGTCTGTGCCCTTCAGAAAGACACTTAGTTACATCATACATCTTCCCATCCATGCTAAGGCAGGACAGGGTGGCATGAATTACGACGTCCAGCTGCAGATCATTGTGAAACAGCGCAAATCGCTTTGGACAAAAGCTCAGCTAAGCAGGCATAACTGAGAGTTCAATCCGAGTCCTGTTCTTCAGGCCCCCGAGGGCACAAAGACTCGTAAAGCAAATTTTAAAGAGATTAAACAAGGGTCCGCATTGAGACAATGCCCAGAGACCTCATCTGCTTCATTGCTTGTTGAAAAAGTAAAATTCCTGAGAGGCAGCCTGTTAGGAGACAGACTTGTTGCTGTAATCCCTCTTTCCCGTCGGTGTCCCGCCCCCCAATCTGCCCTTTGCCCTCCCTTCCTTCTAATATTACCGAAAAAGGGACTCCCTGCTTAGTCTGCTAGACTAGCGAAACAAGCTCCCACAGATGCCCCCGGGGGAGCAGGGAATTCTGGGGGCAAGAAGAGGAATGTTGTAAAGCTTCGGATGCTGTGGTGCTGATTAGGATGGGAGTGCCGCTAAGGGAGGAGGGGGCGTTAGTGTTTATGATGGCCTTCAGCAGCTGCTCATTCACGCAGCCCAGACACTGCTCCACCACGACTCGATGGGCGACACCTTCAGGTGATGTTGGAGCAGCCTAAGGCTGCCTACAAGGCTTTCCCTACATTTTTTACCTGTTCCTGCTGCCAAGTTTTCATTAAAACCTGTGGCTGGTTTCACGAATGCTGTGACAGACCCCTGCTGTTTTTGCGTCACTGCCAGTTCATCCTGGGGCACAGCAAACCCAGACCGGCCCCTCCAGTTGGGCAGCCTGCCACTATGACTCACTGTGACTGGTGCAGGTGAAGCTTTTGTCCTAGTGGAGAGCGGAGCATGGCACACGAGAGGCAGCTATCAGGAAGAGACGGGCAGATGGCCGCCGATGCATAAAGCAGCCACACTGCCCCGTCTCAGCGAGCCCAGAGACGGCCACACCCTCCCAGCTGTGAAAATGGACTTTCTGTTCCATGGTGCCTGTAATCATGGCACGCGCTGAGAAAGCACAAACGGAATCATAAAACCTAACAACAGACAGCAGAGCGGCAAATACCAGCGTCATGACACCTCTGGTGTAGGTTGCCTGAAACGCGATACTAAAGCAGGATGGAATGCTTTAAAGCTGATGTATCACAAGCAAAACTGAAATGACTATAATCAGAGGTAAATGACCCAGTCATGTGAGAGGGGCGGGAAAGACTCATTTAACGGGCATGAAATATCCTAATTGGACTCTCCTTCCTCTGCTAACCGCAGAACGATGACAATCTCAGTCAAACGGACCACTTTTGGAGAAATGTCTTACCATGCATTAATATAGTACTTTAAAAAAGAAATCTGTTCATGCATATTTATAGACACATCATTGCTCTTTGGTCAGTTTCGGTTCCTGCCAATGATTAAAAAGAACAATTGGCTCAAGGATCAAAAACCAGCGTTATTTGGGAAAGGCCCCTATCAGAAGCCTGTTCACAAAATTGCCTGACAAAAAACAAAAATATAAGAAGCATTTTTGAAAGTCTGCCACTGAAAACCAGTCTCTGACTCTCCCTCCAGTAGTGTTCCAGTGTACCACACCCCCCCACCCAGCAAACAAGCCACACACACCTGTGACAAACAGGGCTCATCACAGCAAACATCCGGTGTGTGAGCAAACAGGGTTCTGTGACAAGATAATCTCCCTTCTCAAGGGAGTAGGCAGCAAGAGGGAGGATGAATCGTGGACATCAAGGATGAGAAGGGCGAGTCACATTTATCCTTCAAGGTTCAAACTGCAGAGCCCACAGTAAAACTGGTGTAATGCTTGTTACATCTCTCCAAGAAAAACAATGCCTGAGTCTCAGTGGAACACCCCTTTATCTTCCCAGTGACGCCATCAACAAAAGCGTAACTGTCGGCAGGTAAACCATTCATATGCGCCTAGACCAGGCAAGGTTCTGCTTTGATAAAGTCATGTCTATTCAAATGAGGCGTGTTAATGTGTATCACTGCAGACATGCAGTAACAGTTCTGCTAGACACTGATACAAAACCTTACTCCAGTAAATGATTATGAAAGCTGACGTAATCCACAAACACATTGTTCACCAAAGAAAGGTGTCATTTGAACAACCGGGAAGGCATCTTGGCTAATCCCATTGGCACCGTAATCCTTAATGAGTACCTGAGACCGTGGGCAGGGCCCAGGTCCCTCCCCCTTAGGCCTGGTGATGTCATTTTAACATGCTTTTCACATCAGATTGCCCCGGTTCCTAAAAGCCTGTGAGCCTTTCAGGTGAGAGTGACAGCTACAGACAGGCGTAAACAATTGAAACACAATATTACCCAACTTTTCCCCCCGCTGGTGTACTGTCTATATCTAAGTGATCCTGGCAGTCAGGAGATTTGAGCTACTTAAGAAAAATCCCTGACACACAGGATGCTACAGACAGCAAGTAACACGTTCTTAATTACGGTACTGTCGTGCATTTTCTTAATAATATGCCATAATATGACCGTAGCGTCAAAGTCTGGTGAGATCTCTGAAGTGATGTGCGGACGGATGTGCATCAGCAAGCGTCACACTTGGGCCGGGAACAAACTGACTCTGGCTCTCAACGGGAGCTTCTCAGTAGCCAGAGGAGGACAGTGGATTTCCATCCTTTGAAACTTTGCATGTCCAGGTCGCATGCAAGCAGAAAAAACAGAACGAATTCCGACGATGGCATTTCCCTACCTTGCCCCAGTAACTAAATACGCAGCACGAAACATTCTCTTGAGGGCATAAAATTGCACTGCCTATAATCATTTACCACGCATTTTTATTATTAAGGCTGTTTCTGCAGTGGTGAATGCCAGAATCATGTGGTTGATTCCTCACAGCTCCTGTACTGCACTTATTTGTTTTCACAAATAAGTGTAGGGTGCCCCAGGATGCTACCTCAATAGGCAAAGGGGTTTTGGAAAAGAGGTACATTCCTCTGAAAAGCTGTCTTCAGTGTTTCACAGCAATAAAACGTCTCCCTTTCCATTGGCGTAGGCGGAACCCTGCCTGGGTGTGGCAGATCTCCAGAACACACTGCCTCAAAGCCTTTGTCCAGCTCTCTGCACAGTAATTGCAGAGCAAAAAAATTATCCTCTAACTACTTTCACCAAGCCAAGCACAGAAATAACCCAGGCTGGAAAACAGAGTAAAACTAAATTACAAGACCCAAGTTGGTGAACGGCAAGGCTGAGTCACGGCTCTTGGGAAAAATCATTACCTGACTGAGGCTGCGATGAGCTGATTACTCAGGTTTAGGTTGCTGTTACTAAGGTGTTACCTGGCCAGCTACCCGCCGCTTGCAAAAGTACATAAAGCGAGAGATGATGATCCTCTAGTAAACAGCATAAGCACTTTGAGTAGCTAGAAGATTATAATAAGCTAAATACTACACATGGGGTGTAGATCAACATAGCAAACATTCAGAAAATGGGAACACAGTAAATGCAAAATCACACACGCATGACATAGTATTGGGGGGATAATATTTTTCCTGAGTTGCCTTCACATTACGGCACGTTATCTTCTCAGCCAGGATTTTTTTACCGTCCTGTGTTAACTTTTAACCTTAAACGTTCAATGGCCTTGAGCGTAGTTTCCCTCCTCCCTCTTAGTTTCTCTACACTGACATGACCCCTCTCTCTCTCTCTTTCTCTCTCTCTCTCTCTCTCTCTCTCTCTCCTAAGAATATTAGGCGCTTTACGACATTCCTCTTCTTGCCCGTTATTCGCCTGGCTACTCAAGTCATCTTTCCTTTCTATAGCACTTAGAGAAATGCCCGTCCTTGTGCATTCCGAGAACTTTCAGTTTAATTCTTCATTAACTGCCTTTGTTTGTATTAGATATAATGCCTGGTTATTGTTTAAGCTCTGAAGATTCCATTTACTTTTGGTTCCCACAATAATGCTGCCCGACTGGAGCGAGCCTCAAAATGAAACACAAAGATTTTTATGGTTCCTTTACTATGTGTGCAAATCTTTATTTATGATCAGATATAATATACCTGCAATGGGGAAGTCTAAACATATGAAAAATAACATAAAATTCCAGACTGCCTTAGTCTTTAATCTTCTTATAACTTAGGCATCAAAACTGAAAGTTGGCAATAAACTCGACAAATCATACTCGACACAGGAAATCCCCAGTTTATGATAATCTGCTCAATCTTGATCATGAAAATCTGACTGCAAAGATTCCCATGAGGAGTCCTGTGACTCCAGGATGGAAAGTTAGAGACCTTCTGTGTTTTCAAAACAGTGATTGAGAGGTTTGGCAGTGGTGATTTTTGCAAACCTTGGTTTCTATAGCAACGCCAGGCAGTGTGATTCCACAGCCTATTGCCAATGACTTGTGGGACAAGCACTTTCCCCAAACCTCACTGGAGAGGCCTTGCCCATGAGGCTAACCAGACATATGGAGAGCGTTGCCATGGAAACAGATTTCAAATTTTTGGGAAAACAGACAACACAAGACCTCTCTGTGTGGACAGTAGCACTACTTGTAACTGGGCCCTTCTGTCTTCAGTTTCCACTCCAGTTCTTTCCAGCGCCCATTAACTTCACTTTCAATGGGGCACTCCAGCAGGAAATGGGTGACCTTGAATTTCAAAACTAAAATAAAAAATAAAAGGATCGCTCTTCCACTTTTGAATTACAAAACCATAATGCGAGTCCCAGCACAGAATTGAGAACTACTTAAAACTGATTTAGTTGTAAATTATGACAAATCAGATACATTAAAAATAAAAAGCTTCAGAGTGAATAAACAAAAAAATTATATATCGACAAATAACCTTATTTATTTTAAAGCCAAATTTTTTTTTTAAACTTGGTTGAATTCCAAGTTTACACATTCAGCAGTGCTCACCTCTTTATAAAACCATCTTTCATCGGGACAGCTGCGACATACTTCCCCGTCTGTCAGAGGTCAGTAAAATAAAAGACACCTGTAATGTACTGCTGTAATACCTTTGATACATCAATCAACAATCTGCTTATTAGTGAACACAAAAAGAAAAATGTTCGAAGGCTTGACAGCAGTTTTTTCCCCATTCCTTCCACCCTAAAGCCCATACTGCCTTCTAGTGGACAGATGAAAAATAGCCTCAGTCCACAGAGCCAAGAAATGTGCACAAGGGCCACCCCGCCCTCCCTATAGGCGACGTAGGCGATCGCCTAGGGCCCCATTTGATTAGGGGGTGCAAAAGGGCAAGTGGGAAACATCAGAAGAAATACTTCTGGTTGCATTCTGTGACATTACAGTTATTTACACTAACTAGACCCTGTGCATCTGATATATTTTTTATATAAATGAACTGACAAAATTTGTTTGCTGCTGCTCTGAATCATATTGCTGAAAATGCCCAGGAACAAGCAAACATACGAAAGCAGTGGTTGAAAGTTCTCCACCAGCTGCAGCTCCCTTGACATACTGTAAAGGAACGGTAGCTCTTGCTGCTCACATGGTCAGATCTTTAAATCCAGTGCTGCATACTGAGGGAATACAGAGACGGTCACCAGGTCACACGCAGGACCACGCGAAACATCTCATGCTCATGCATGCTCTTCCTACACAGTGCTCACAAAACATAGACATAAACATAAACATAAACACCCTGCGCTGTCAGCTCAAACATGGGCACGCACTCAGGTATGCTCACACATGCATGCTAGTTTGGTTTAAGGGTCAGAGGAAAGGACTTCTGGAACAAAGTGATACTGAACTTCATGGGGGGGAATTCAGTGAAAAAGCCCCCCATGTCAGTGACAGAGTATCCCAGGGAAACAAAAGGGCAGCGGAGGACACAAGGAGAGTGGGTGGGTCATACTATCACTATGCTATATCACTGTCTGTTGCCAATTAAAACTTCATATGTGAATTTGCAAAATAACATGAAGCAAGTAACAGAATTGCAAGGAGGCCAAGCACTTGGTGCCCCAATTGCAGGTTACAATGACTGCTAAATTATTAACCCTGTCAAGGAGAATAGTCTCAATAACCATGACAGCATTATCCAAACACAGACAACCTGCATTAGCAAGGAGGCCCTGTGGTCGCAAGCCAAAGTTCACATGGACAGACGGATACGTAGCAGGATGCTTGCTAAGCAACCCGGATTACAACCGCAGACCCTATTAGCCTATGTGAAGTGGGACCTTTGTGAGGCCGTCTCAATAGAAACTGCACATTGTGCTTCACTTATGTGGCAGCAAGTATCACACTTGGGCTCGGAACAAACTGTCTCTCAGCCTTACAGGAGCTTCATGGTCTCTACAGGAGCACAGTGAATGTCCATTGATGCTTCTTTGAAACTTTGCATGTTCTGGTCACAAGAAAAAAAACGAGAACAAATGGCAACACAAAGGTAGAAGTTACGGCTGGATGGCCAGTCGAAAACCGCTGGTATCCAGGACACGGTCGCAAAGAAGCATGATCTGGTATAAGGAGCCCTGGAGAACCCATGAGTCTTATTGATACAGGGAGCCACCAGGAAATCAATAGGTCCAATGATTGCTCTGCATGGTCATATCAGTGGCAGGCAGGGTTCCACATATCCACTAATTATAGATGCTAAGGTTTCTGTTAGCTGATTAGCGTTTACATGAGATTAAGGCTGAATGCGGTTCATGCCAGATATGTGAGAGTTGGCTGGCCTTGCCTGTACTAAGCTGAGAACTGGGGCCTATATCACAAAAATGGATTTCTTGCTTGGTAACAATAAAAAAGCTGAACAAAAAACTGAATATTTTTATTTACAGTATATACACAGAAAAAAAAAAAAGTTAATCACACTCCTTTTCGGACAAAGATAGACACACACACGCACAAATTAGGTATCTATATCTTTGTGGGGACTCTCCATTTATTCCTACAGGCAAAATCCCAACTATGAAAACCTTAACCTCTACGCAGCCCTAACCCTAACCAGAAGTAACCAATCAAAATACAAGCCTTTTTGCATTTTAAGTTTTTCATTGCAGTCACAGATTTTTTATAAAATTGAGTTTCCCTTTGTGGAGACCAAAAATTTTCCTCACAACATTAAAATAACTGGCTTGGTCCCCACAATGTAATATATAAATGAACACACACACACACACACACACACACACACATACAGACCTGTAGTTATATCTTTGTGGGAACCGTGCATTCATTTCTATGGGCAAAACCCTAATCCCAACAATGACAACCTTAACCCCTACCCAGCCCTAACCTTAGCCATAAGTAACCAAATAAAATACAAGACTTGCGGCATTTTAGTTTTATGATTGCAGTCACAGATTTTTATAAAATTGAATTTCCCCTTATGGAAATAGGCACACTTAAGGATCTGAGCAACTTTGACAAGGGCCAAATTGTGATGGCTAGATGGCCTGGTCAACGCATTTCCCAAAGGGCGGGTCTTGTGGGGTGTTCCCAGTATGCAGTACCTACCAAAACTGGTCCAAGGGAGGTCAACTGGTGAACTGGTGCCCAAGGCTCATTGATGCGCATGGGGAGCGAAGGCTAGTCCATCGGTTCCGATCCCACAGGAGAGCTACTGTAGCACAAATTGCTGAAAAAGTTAATGCTTTCTCTGATGGAAAAGTGTCAGGACATGCAGTGTATCGCAGTTTACTGCATATGGAGCCGCAGAGCTGCAGAATGGTCAGAGTGCCCATGCTGACCCCTGTCTACCGCCAAACGGGCCTACAATGGGCACATGAGTGTCAGAACTGGATCATGCAGCAATGAAACTAGATGGCCTGGTCTGATGAGTCACATTTTCTGTTAGATTATGTGGATGGCTAGGTGTGTGTGTGTCATTTACCTGGGGAAAAAAATGGTCCCAGGATGCACTATAGGAAGAAGACAAGCCAGCGGAGGCAGTGTGATACTCTGGGCAATGTTCTGCTGCTTGGGTCCTGGCATTCATGTGGATGTACCCACATATACCACCAACCTAAAAACTGTTGCAAACCAAGTACCCCTCTTCATGGCAATGAGATTCCCCTAATGCCAGTGGCCTATTTCAGCAGGATAATGCACACTGCCACACTGCAAAAATTGTTCAGGAATGGTTTGAGGAACATGAAAAGTGAAAGTGATTGTCTTTGTTAACACACTACAGCAAAACATGTCCTTCACATTTAACCCATATGTGACACAGCAGGGGGCAGTTAATTCCGCACCCAGGAGGCAGTTTCATGCTGATGGTACCGCACTGGTTAGGGATTCAAACCAGCAACCTTTCAATCGAAAGCATGCTTCCCTAACCATTGGACTAGGATTGCCCCACAAGAGTTCAAGAAGTTGACTTGGCCTCCAAATTGCCCAGATCTCCAATCTGATCAGGCATCTGTGAGCTGTGCTGGATAAACAAGCCCGGTCCATGGAGGCCCTACGTCGCAGCTGAAGTTAAAGGATCTGCCTGTTAATTCTGCAGCCCCTGAGCACTTTCTGTGACTTAATTTAATGCTATTTGGTTCACCAGATCTGCGCCCGTTCTTCGGCTATGTGGAACTACGGCTAAGCGATACGTTTAAATCCCCCACAATAAATGATTGATTAATTAATTAAGTGGTAGTTGTGCTGGTGACCATCTTGCTGTAAATAAAAATGTTCAGGTTTTTTTTCAGCTTTTTTATCGTGCAAAAAGAACATGTCAATTTTGAACCAATATAAGACATGATTTGCAGGCTACGCGTGCGTCTCCAGTTAGCCAGCCACAACGATACGATAAGGAAAAACCATGAGATTCTGAAAAGGCTGATTCATGTGATTTAATTCTCATTGTACTTGTACAATGACAATAAAGCATCTTTATCTTTATCTTTCTCGGGACATCAGGGGCTGACACTGAGCGGATATGATGAGGGTGAACAGGGGCGTCGTAGTGGGGGGAAAAAGGGGACTGAGTTACCAGGGCCCCGTGTGGGGGGAGGGCCCCTAAGGAATCTGGAATTTTATTTTTCTTTAAATATATTAATATTATTCAAAGATCACAATAAATGTTGCTAACTAATGTAAATGTAATTTTTGTGGGAAAATAAATCGGTTGACAGATTGAATTGTGTCCTAGCTTACAGTGCCTGAGGAAAAGCACCCTCACCCCTTGCGATGGTTTAGTCTTTACCGGGCTTTTTAACTAGGCGCATTTAATTTAGCGGTCATTCTGCTGAATCCGTGCTGGAAGATGATGCCAAAGAAAGCTAAATCCGGTTTTCAGGAAAGAAAAGTGAGGCAGGAAAGAAACAAAAAAAAAAATGAGGGAAAGCAACTGCTTACAAACTTTTCCCCCAAGAAAGGTGAGCCCAAATGTGAAAGCAAATAGCCTACATTAGATGAACTATTATTATTAAACACTTCAATACCACCGCGAAATTACACATAGATTTAGTCTAGATAAGTCAAATTTTTTTTTTTTGCTTAACCCCCTAGGTTCGACGATGCCGCGCATCTTTCTTGTCTATTTCAGTTTATATCTCACTGAAATGTTTGTGTAGAATCATGGGAAAAAACGCTGGCTAAATCTGTAATCTGTCTTCTTTCCAAGATGTCCATTTTCGGAGTTATTTAAAGTTTTTAAAATTAGGTTAAATCGACAAAAAGTAAACCATGTCACCTTTATTTGTTTTACCTGCATGGGGGGCGTGTAGTACCGCCTTCGCGTGAAGATCGCTATTCACATTGTAAACAGCCGTACTTCCGCGTATTGAAATCGCATTTGCATGGTAATTTGAACAATGCAGCGGTGAAACCGTTTCACCGTTTCAAAAGTGTTCAATTTTCATGCAGGCCTATGATGTTAGGCTACCTTTGGTGACATCCTGTCATAGCTTTTAATCATTCTACAAATAAAACCAAATTCCAGTGAAGTCTTGTGTGATTAGGCTGTTTTTTGTTTTTTTTTTGAGGGGGAGGGGGGCATGGGCACTGTTTGTGCATAGGGCCCAGAATTTGGTGCTACGCCCCTGAGGGTGAACACTCTGACAGCAAAGTGAACTACTAATCTGATTCTACTGAACCCTAATCTCCTCAATGATGAGGAAGCATGCCACACGCTGGAAGCTCGGATGGCTCAGGGGCACAGTGATCTGGAGGGGCAGCAGATGCAGATCGAGCAAGACAGGGAGCGGATGTGGCAGAACATGGTGGAAGGGCAGAGCACTGTGGAAAACCTCCAGAAGCAGGAGGCGGAGGCCACGCTGCATGACCGCTTGGAAGCGTGTCGCAACTGCTAGGTCACGCTTGCGCAGGAGTGCATGAAAGTGGAGGAGTTCGAGTGCGCTCTGGAGGCTTGGCTGGCAGAGAAGTGCTGCAGCTGCTGGAGGAGATGGCCGGCAAAGAGCGGCAGTGCGAGGCCTCCCGATCCAGGGAGCCGGAGGGGCAGCAGGCTCCCACCAGGCCAGGTAAAGGGAAGAGTCGGTGGCCAAGGGGAACCTGCGATGCCAGTGTGCGCTAGCCTCACCAGCACTCGTGAGTGGCCGCCCGCCCCCCCTGCCCCCCTTTGGAGATGGTGCACTGGTGGCTGCCACGGGACCGAGGAGCCTTGTCCCAGAATGGAGGTGGGGACTGGGAGTGCTGGTTGCCAGGACAGCTGACCTTCGGGGGGAGGTGCATTGTAGTGCCGGCAGGCTTTGAATATCCCAGCATGCTCACAAGTGCTTGTAAATAGCCCCTTTGTGTAATTGTTGTTGTTAGTGATAATATTTGTGTTGTGTTTCCCTAGTGTTGCATGTACCTTTACCTGTGTCATAAGTGTGATCCTGACATGCCATTGTGTAATTATCTTACCGTGTGTCACCTTCCCCTGTCACTATTACTTGAGTGTGGTCCTTCTCAGGACTGCATTAAAGAGCACGTTTGGTTAAAACCGTCTGCTGTCATCTGTCGGTCTGCACGTATACACACACGCACACACACACACACACATATGCATGTCGGGTAAACATATCTTTATGGGGACAGCTCACACACACACACATATGCATGTCGGGTAAACATATCTTTATGGGGACAGCTCACACACACACACATACACACACATCTCGAGAAGATGAGGTACCTGCTATGGGAAAGTTAGCAGCACGTCCTTTTGTAGCACATAAGCCAGTCAGACTGTGACTGCAGAAGCTGCACCTTCCTCACCATCCCACGTCACATCACCAACATACCAAAACAGCGCAGTGTCACAACGGGAGTTATTTCGGTGAGTGAGTCAGTGTGGGTATGGATTAGGAGGGCAGGGCAGGTGACGGGGTTGTCTGGGGAATGCAAAGCTGTCATTCCCACAACCCCCTTCTGAGGAACATTTTTGTACCTGGCCTGCCCCATCCACTGGAGCAGGAAGCAGCGCACAGCCAGGGTTACATTCATATATAATTATTAGTAGAGATGCTATGACTTTATTATTTAGAAATCTGACCAATATTTTTTGACTAATAATTTTATACTCAGACTGATCCCTCCTCTCTAAACTGTTTCTCAAGTGCGCTCCCTCATCTCCAGTTCTCCACTCCACTGTCAGTGGCCAAGTCTCTCGGCCAAGTCTTGTGCGAGTTGAAAGCGTGTCCAGGGATGCATTGTGCCATATTGTGTCAAATCGCACTGCATCGCAATAGGGGTGAATTGTAACATATTGCAATAGTAGTTGCTTCATACATATCTTTAATGCATTGGGTCGTTGGCAATGCAATGAGATGTGTATTGCATCGCCTCATTGATGAAGATGCACATCCCTACATATTATGATTTTTTATAAAGATACAGGCACAAAGATGTAGGCCTATGCATATAATGGTTTTTATCGTGAATAGTATTCAGAATTAGATGACCATGACACCTAATTTCTGCCATAGAATTGGCAGAATTGACAAGTGCCAGATCTAGCATAAAAAGTCTAAATTGGATACCGAGATGTATTATGCTTTTTTACAAAGCTTTAAGTGAATAAATTTACTACTGAAAAACTCATAGTATTTGTGGGCTTCACTTCAGCTTCCGGCTTTGCAGTCACGTGATTTTAGGCAAAAAACAAACAACCAAAAGATTACGTTTCATTGCTTCATCGAAAATAAATTCCACAGCTAGAAATATAAAAAGAAAAACAATAAGGTTCCAATGCACTACGTGCTTTGGACTCTTAATAAATAAATCATGTCTACATGCAGTTTAAGAAATATATGAGCCTGATATAGTATTTTGTAGGAACTAAATTCTGTGCACGATTTAATACACCGTGCCCACAAAAACAAACAAACATATAAATAGTTTGTGGTATATACCATGGCTGGGTATATACCATTAGCGTATCTGTTACAGTTCTTAGCGGTATGTCATGGAAAATGTTGGTCATGGTGCAAATGGGAAATAAACAGAATGTAAAAATATGAATTATATAAATGACAATCTAAGACATGAACATTAAGGCATACATAAAGAAATACAGGTAGGCCTAAGCACTGGTAACTGGTGGGAAAGACAAGGTGAAAATTGGCATATAAGATGAATGTGTAATAAATGAATAGATGTAGTGTCAGAGTTAAGTGTAACAGTTA